TTTCACTCTTTTTTCGGTGCTCTTTTCACATATAATTATTTTGGTGCTCATTTCACCCTTTTTTTGGTGCTCTTTTCACATACAATCAATTTGGTGCTCATTTCACTCTTTTTTCGGTGCTCTTTTCACATATAACCAATTTGGTGCTCATTTCACCTCTCCTTCGGTGCTCAAAACACTCCCCACCCTATGATGATATTGGCGGTGTTAGAAAACAATTGGCACAAATTAAGGAAATGGTTGAATTATCATTAATAAATCAACAACTATTCAAAATAATTGAAGTTAAACTACCACGACGTATTCTTTTATATGGACCACCAGGCACAGGTATGATAAAAATAATAGAGCATTTTTTTAGAAAAAGAAAAATATTTATTTTAGGTAAAACTTTAATTGCACGTGCCATGGCTAATGAAACTGGTGCATTTTTCTTTTTAATCCATGGATCGGAAATTATGTCTAAATTACCTGGTGAATCTGAATTAAATTTACGTAAAGCATTTGAAAAAGCTAAAAAGGTAAAGTTAATTTACTAGTTAATTTCTAGAAAATTAAGAGGACAAATTGAAGAAGTTAATTGTATATTAATTATAATAGAATTTTTATTTAAATAAATTTTATTTTTTATTTTTAGAATGCTCCAGCTATTATTTTCATCGATGAACTCGATGTAATTGCACCAAAGCGTGAAAAAAGTCATGATGAAATTGAGCATCGTTTTGTTTTACAATTATTAACATTAATGGAGGATATTCAACAATGTTCACATGTGATTGTTATGGCGGCAACAAATCGACCAAATTCAATTAATCCAGCACTTCGTCGTTTTGCTCTAGAAATTAATATTGGTATTCCTGATGTTGTTGCTCGTTTAGAAATTCTTTGTATACATACAAAAAATATGAAATTAGGTGATGATGTTGATCTTGTACAAATTGCTAATGAAACATATGGTTATGTTGGTGCGGATTTAGCATCATTATGTTCAAAAGCTGCTTTACAACAAATTCAAGAAAAAAATGAATGTAATGGATTTACAAAAAGATACAATTGATGTTGAACTACTCAATTCATTAGTTGTTACACAAGAGAATTTTCGATTTGCACTTAATCAATCAAATCCATCAGCTTTACATGAAATAGTTATTGAAGAACCAAGAACAACATGGGCAGATATTGGTGGTTTAGAAAATGTTAAATGTGAATTACAACGACATGTTCAATATTATGATGGACATCCGAGAAAATTTCTCAAGTTTGATACGACGTCATCACATGGTGTTCTCTTTTTTGGACCACCTGGTTGTGGTAAGTTGATATCGATTTTTTTCTTCTATTTTGATTATTATTTAATATTTTATTTTAGGTAAAACATTATTAGCAAAAGCTATGGCTAATGAATGTCAATCAAATTTTATTTCGGTAAAAGGTCCTCAATTATTAACTATGTGGTTTGGTGAACCAGAAGCTAATGTCCGTGATGTATTTGACAAAGCTCGTCAAGCAGCACCATGCGTACTTTCTTTTGATGAATTAGATGCAATTGGTAAGATAAAAAGAAAAGTAATAAAGAGAATTTTTTCTTTTTTTCTTTTTAGCTAAATCTCGTGGTGGTAGTGCTGGCGATGGTAGTGGTGTAACTGATCGTGTCATTAATCAAATGTTAACTGAAATGGATCGTATAGATGCAAAGAAGAACGTTTTTATTATTGGTGCCACCAATCGACCGGATATTATCGATTCAGCTATTCTTCGACCAGGTAAAGAAATAAATCTCCATGGTAGATTCTCGTTTCGTCGAAAAATTTAATATACTGTTTTTTCATCATTCTCGTTTCGTCGAAAATGAAAAAACGACTGTTCTCGTTTCGTCGAAAAATAAAACTGTAGTGAAAAGAACATAATCAAAGCGATAAGCTCAATATCTATGATTGACTTTAACTACTTTCTTAAAACGAAACTAATTGATATCCCATACTATTAATCTGAATTTTTGTAAGAGTATATATGTGTGGAGTAAAAGGAACAATTAATTTTTTTGCTATATTCATTATTAAAAAAAACATTAACATTAGATGAATATCTTAAAAAAGTTATGGGATTAATCGGAATTAAAAAAGTATTGATGTTTTTCTTTTCGATGTTCATATTTTCTCTCAGTAATTTCTTATTTATCTATCGAAATCTGTTCTATAATATAAAAATTTTGACAAATGTATCTACAAATAAATAGGCGCTATTCCTGATTGATATGATGAAGAAATCTTATCAACAGATGTAATCTATTCATTGATTAGTTAGAGTTTATCTTTTCGACGAAACGAGAACAGCAGTTTTTTCATTTTCGACGAAACGAGAATGGATGAAAAATTTATTTTCGACGAAACGAGAACTAACCGAATTGAATATCTAAAAAATTCGACTGTCTTCCTGAATGAAATATTATTTTATTTATTTAGGTCGTTTTGATCAATTAATTTATATTCCATTACCTAATGACGAATCACGGATGGATATTCTAAAAACTTCTTTAAGAAAATCATCTGTAGCTAAAGATGCTGATATGGATTACTTGACTATTGTAACCGAAGGTTTCAGTGGTGCTGATTTAACAAAAATTTGTGAACGAGCTTGTATATTAGCTACAAGAGAATTCATTGAAAAAAACAACAACATATCCGTTCAACAACAATGGATTCTGATGAACCAGCTCCAGTACCAGAAATTCGTCATGATCATTTTGATGAAGCTATGAAATTTGCTCGACGATCAGTTAGTGATGAAGATATAAGTGAATATGAAATATTTGCTACAAAATTACAACAAGATTTTCAAGGTTTTCCAACAAAATAATGGACATTTTTTATTTTTAAAATAAATATTAAAAAAAAAACTTGATTATCTACTAAAGAACTATGATCGTACAATGAATTGATAGTCATGATAATAGTTATATCAAGATCACGAATATAAAGATAATCAAGTGTTAATCGATCAAATCGTTGATTGACATCCACAATTGAATAAAGAAAATCAACCATATTGAGTTTATGAAAAATGATAGATAAAATTTCATCCGGTATATCAAGTATATTGTTATTTAAATTGCTCATGTCTAATTCATACAATATATTCATGTCAATCTATATGTATTTTCTCATTGCCGTGTCTACCAAAACAATGACAAATAAATATCGATGCCATCATATTGTTCTACGATCAAAGTAATAAACAGACAAGACTAATTCAAAGTGAACTAACCAAAGAAATTGGCATTGTTAGGTAGAAAAGTGTCAATTATGTATCTTAATTCATTTTGAATTAGTTAAATCTGTTTGTCCACTGAATATATGAAAAGGTATTTTTCTGTTTGTCTAATAATTTCTGCTATAATTTCTTAGTGATGATGCATCGATCATCGTCTTANTTTTATTTAGTTAAACTGAAAAAGTGAATATTATACAAAATGTTAGAAGCACAGAGCGTGGTTAGTTTGATACAAATCTAGAGATTTGTCGAAGTCTAAATTGAAAATATTTCGATAGAAAAAGTGTAATGAAAGTTTGTAATAATTATATGTTCTATTACATTTGAATGAATTCTCTTAGATAGAATATAACAATAACATAAGATAATTAATAGAAATATGAAATATTGTGACATTCGTCCACCTAATAGTATATTACAAAACGTGCAGCAAGTTAT